ACACGAGGTCGTTTGCATAAGCCCGCTGGATAGCTTTTTCAAAGCAGAAGGGCGGGCTAAAAAGAAAAATAAAGCAGATGGCGAGTTTCGTGCGAGTAATAGAGGGTGTTGGCGAAAAATGCTGAGTATTTCACGAGTACTTTGTAAAAAAAGTGGGCAGTAATGGCGAGTAGCAGGGAGTCGGGCACAGTTTTCTGTGAGTACACAAGAGTAACAAAGTAATGGACCTTTCGCCTAAAAGGGTGTAATCCTGATGGAAATAGACTGACATTCGCACGCCAAAATTGCTTTTTTCCTTCGATCGTCAAAAAATTTAATCCTTTCCATTTTTAGCCCGCCCTTCTGCTTTGAAAAAGCTATTCAGCGGGCTTATGCAAACGACCTCGTGTGTGTCTGTCTGTGTGTCTGTGTGTCTGTCTGTTCCACTAGAAGGAGATGTGCTAGAGACTTGAAATTTTCAGGGTATCTTAAGGTCCACTCCTAGAAAACGAAACGCCTACGGCAAATCCTGGCAACGAACCCTAAGGGTCTGAAAGGGGGTATCAAAGAAAAGGGGTTAGGCCAAAAAAAGTCAGACTTTTTTTTTTTTTATGAGCTTCTAAGGGGTAACTCGTCAAAGAAGAGCACTATGGACGAAATGTTCGTCCGTTTTGCTCTACCCAGCTGAAAATCCCGCCGGAAATTTGGCACTTTCCGGTGGAAATTCGCGATTTTCTACGGGTTTTTCCATTTTTCCGCCGGAAATGACGATCCCACGGAAATTCTCGACGTTACCTGGATAATATTCGTTTTCCTCGGAATTTTATTTAATCCCATGGAAAATTCTAGTTGCCCTTGGAATCACTTTCCGCGGATATTCACTTTCCGGGGATTCGTAATGTTACACGGAACACATGTTCCAAGGAGATTGCTTCCATGGAGGAAACGCATTCCACTGAGTGGTGGCAATTTCCACGCAACGTCTAAGTTTCATGGAAATTCCGTGGAAATGCAAGAAATTCCTTGGAAACCCCATCCTTGTACGCAAAGCACTGTTGGGCGGAAACCATCTCAACTTCCATGGAAATTCATAACTTCACTGTTTCAAATGCACATGCTTGGAGAAAAGAATCATCGCTTTCTCATATCAAACTAGACTATTGAACTAATCAAAAAAGTAAATGAGGGGAATGAGTTAAAAAATGGGAAATTAGGAAGTTGGGATAAAAAAACCGAGACTGTTGCTTTAAAGGTTATGTGATTACGTTATTAAGGCCTTACATCACAGTTAAGCCCCTAGTTTTAAACTAGTTGTTTCTGGTTATTTTTATGAGTTAAAACGAGTCAGGTGATCAAAACTAGGTAATAATTATGTAGGTGGGTTCCTTTTTAAACAAATCATACAAAAAATAAGTTCCGGAAACTTTGGGTTTGTAAAGGAACGACAGTTTTCATACTTGAGTCA